GAAAGTATGATCTTGTTTAAAGGCCCAGAGGATACAGGTTCGGCGGCACAAACGATAAGCGAAGCTATTATGGCGGCTTACCAGGAAAACTGTCCAGAAAAAAAACAAGGAAAAATAAGGACAGTAGTCTGGTGGAACAACGGCTTTAAGAGGATGAGGTCGGAAGTCCGAAGTCTATTTAATAAAGCCAAAAGTAACCAAGATTGGGATGCCTACATATATAAGCTAACGCTATACAATAAAGAAAATCGGAAAGCTAAAACGGAATTCATGGAGAGAGTTTTGCGAGATTACAGATATCCCGGCATGTTCTCGAATCCATAAAATCCTGACAGAGGATGGTGCTACTGTTCTCGGACGCGACTAGTTCACGTTCGAGACGCATCGCCCCGCCCCTTATTTTTCACGTTGGCCCCTCCCTGACCTGGAAATCCCTAATCGCTACTTCAGAAAGTATAAAAATAGGCGATTTTCAGGTCAATAGTCAGTCCTTCACGGGCACTCCGAGAGCTTAGTGCTCTCGGGGCTCTGCTTCCTTTTTAGCTTTCCATACTCTGTGGCTGAGATGTTATTCTATTGCAACCTGGTATTTTTATTTCGACTTAACCTTTGTCATGTAAGAAATATCTTGCCTTTTTCAAGGCAAGATACCAGAAGAAAACATTTTCGAGTCCATACCTTGAAAATGGACTTAAGTAGAGGAGCTATCGTTGATGTTTTCGAAGCCCTCTACGGAGCACACGGTGGTACAGAAGGTGCTTAGACCCTTATTAATTACCCCGTGGTGACATGGCGCCCAACAACGTGGATTATTCCGATCCCACGACCCAGCTTGACTCACAGCAGAATGCTACAACCAATGACTTCAACATGGGTTGAAGTCAAGAGAAGAATGGGGAGAACCACGGAGTATTAGAAAGCTATACTCTAACACTCCGACATCGAGGCCTTCTGCAGACCGGATGCCTTCGACGTGCAGGCACCTTTGACGAGCCAAACTTCTTCGAAGTCAGAAGCCCCTGATGCCAATGGAAGTCCAGAAGTAGACCCAGTCATCGCCCCCCTACCGAAAGTGGTTGGACGACCACGTAGGCTTCGGCATCCTGGTACTCTGCGAAACCCCTGGATATGGCAGATGGGATCCGGACGACCGAGAAGAAGACGAACCCGTCAATGAGTTGGCACAGCGATCGAGGATGGACGAGGATGATATTTTTGAATTTTCAATAAATTTTTTCCCAGCCACGGAGCCTCCACAGGAGGGGGGATGTTCTCGGACGCGACTAGTTCACGTTTGAGACGCATCGCCCCACCCCTTATTTTTCACGTTGGCCCCTCCCTGACCTGGAAATCCCTAATCGCTACTTCAGAAAGTATAAAAATAGGCGATTTTCAGGTCAATAGTCAGTCCTTCACGGGCACTCCGAGAGCTTAGTGCTCTCGGGGCTCTGCTTCCTTTTTAGCTTTCCATACTCTGTGGCTGAGTATTATTTCTACTGTATTTTTGGTGTTTTATTTCGACCTATATATATTTGGTCATGTAAGAAATAACTTGCCTTTTTCAAGGCAAGACATCGAAGACAACAAACCTGATGTTTATTTCGACAACTATCATGTAAGATATTTGTCATGTAAGAAATCTCTCGTCTTTATTAAGACGAGCCATCAGGAAACAAAACATTTTGAAGTCCATACCCTGAAAATGGACAAAAGTAGAGGAGCTCACGATGTTTTCGAAGCCCCTCTACAGAGCACACGGTGGTACAGAAGGTGGCAAGACCCTTTCCATTTACCCCGAGGTGACACTACAACGAAAGAAGTAGGTTTCCTAAAGAAAGCTAATGGCAAATTTACTGACACCAAAGAGGAAAGTCTTAGAGAACTGATAAACACGCACTTTCCGGGCTTAACAATTCTGGATGATGCAGATAGGCAAACCAACATAGACCAAAGGCTCACTAGGCCAAGTTCTACAGATTGGGAAATAGCCAAAGCAATCACAAGACCAAACAGACTTAGATGGGCTATAAATAAGTTTCGGTAATATAAGTCGCCAGGGACAGATGCCATATATCCAATACTGATATGCATATTGCATGTAGAATTAGAGGTATTGATACCACACCTATGCAATCTCCTCAAAGCCAGTTTAGCATGGGCAGTCGTACCGGAAATATGGCAAAAGGTTAAAGTCATATACTTTTCTAAGGTAGGTAAAGTATCAGACCTAACACTAAAGTCATATAGACCGAAAAGCCTATCTCCTTTTCTATTAAAAACGCTGGAAGGCTTCTTGATAGGTACATCAGAGACGAAGTGCTAAAAGATAATCCTCTAAGCAATCGTCAATATACATACCAACCTGATAAATCTACGGACTCTGCGTTGAATGATCTAAATAGGCTTATCTCAAAGTCAATGGAAGACAAAGAGATAGCATTGTCCGATTTTTTAGATATAAAAGGGGCATTTAATAATGTTACCACCAGCTCTTTGATAGGGAGCTATGAGTAGACGAGGCGCATCTGCGGCAATATGCAGATGAATAAGGGCATCCCTGTAGAATAGGACAGTAATGTCCACTCTGGGTAAAGCGACCATCAACGCAAAAGTACAAATCTATCCATAGAAGGCTTTTATTATCATTTTATTATTAAGGATATGCTGACGATATAGCAATCGTTGTCAGGGGCGGGTTTGCTCAGGTGGTGTCTGAGAGAATGCAAGCAGCCGTAAATATAGTTGACAACTGGTGTAAACAAGAGAGACTGTTAGTCAATGCTCAGAAAACACAAATCGTCAACTTCCAAAAAAAAAACAGCACTACAAGGCCTAAAACCACCGGTGCTGGAAAGAACAAAGATTTCATTTGCCAAAGAAACAACCTATACACCAAGGTATTTCCAATACCTTGGGGTATATTTTGATCATAGGCTTACATGGAATACAAACATTCTGAAAACCACAGAGAAAGCTACTATGCCCATGGGCAGATGTAGAAGAATATGCGGTAACAATTGGGGACTTAACCCCAAAATTGCTCTACAGTTATACACAAGGGTTATTAAACCCATGATAACCTATGGCTCGGTGACGTGGTGGACAAAGACGCAGCCAGTGGGAGCAATAAGGCTGCTAGGTAATACACAAACGCTAGGATGCCTGTATATTACGGGGGCCATAGAAACAACTCATACTGCATCGTTGGAAGTCCTGCTGAATCTACCACCACTTCATATCTTTATACGGGGCGAAGCCAGATCAGTGATGCATAGATTAGTCAGTGATGCATAGTTATCGACATATAAGCCAGATGCATGATGCTGACAACAGAAAGCTAATCGAGGAGCTAAAAGTCGATATTGTGATGGGGAAACCTATCGATGCAACAGCTACGAGATATAGGTTTAACAATAAGTTCACAATTAAGATACCAGGCAGGGAAGACTGGAATAAAGGTGTACCCATACAAGCTGCTGCTACTTGGTACACAGATGGCTCACAAACATCGGAGGGCCTTCATAGTAGGGACAAATCAAGGGATACATTTCCCGGTAAGTCTATCTGAGGATGCGACTTCCAGGCGGAAATAACGGCAATCCACCACTGCGTGGAAGAAATATAAGGCAGGAAAGAACGTTCTGTTCAGTTGCCATCTTCACAGATAGTCAGGCAGCGCTTAAAGCACTCAATTCAGGTCGAGGTCAATTATAAGCTAGTATGGGATTGCGTGTGTGCCCTAAATAAACTAGGATACCGTAGCAAGGTTACGGTAGCCTGGCTACCGGGACACGAGGGTCATAATGGCAATGAAATGGCCAAACAAGGCTCATTAACGCCATTCATTGGACCGGAACCCTTCTGCGGCGTTGCAAAGTCAGTAACAAGGACGACTACAAGGAAGTGGGTAGCTCACAAATCTCTGGAATGGTAGAGGAATTCCACCAGGACAAAGACAGATGAAACAGTTCATTACAGAACATTTGCCAAAATTGACGGCAGACCTAATAAGCAAAGACAGGAAAACAATCAAAGCCATAAGCAGGTCTTCTAACAGGGCACTGTAAGCTGAATAGGCACTTGAAGCTGATGGGTTTATCAGATGATGACATGTGCAGATTTTGTCACCTCGAAGAAGAAACAGCAGAGCACATTTTATATCAGTGTGACAGTCTGGCAAATCCAAAATCCACCGGCAAATAGCTATATTGAAGGTACAGTCTCGAAGCTACTAGACTTTATAAAAAGGATCAGGCTAGAGAATGTTATCTAGGACTAGATGACTACAATAGATCTGAAAAGGTCACTATGGAATACGCAAAAAGGTCACCTCTCTAAAGTACTAACATGGAAATCACATATTGAGTTTAAGCTGAACAAATGTAGTAAAGGATTACATTTTCTGAAGTAATTTCAAAAACCTGGGGGAGGAGTTGAAACATCTATACTTTTCTATAAAGCTTATATTAGATCAATCACAGATTATGGTTGTATACTATATGTTTCTGCATATGATTTTATTCTATGCAGAATAAATGTCATACAAAATAGAGTTCTATTAATTTGTTTAGGTGATATGACATCAACTCATATTAACGCTTTACATCTTGAGGCATTAGAAATGCCACAGAAATAAAGAACAGAATATCTAAGCAAACAAATTATAATTCAAATACAACAGAAAGATACTCCTCTTTATTGTTCTTAGAGACTTCATTTTTTAACGTCCATATTTTTTTTATTAACAAACTGTCTGAGAAGACTTGGCAACAATGTTCTGAATTTGCTAACGACGTGCATCTTCGTCATGTACTTCCTTTTCTATCATCTGTGTAACTCGCGACCCATCGCTATCTTGGGCTAGTATACGTCAAGCAACCAAAAGCTAACAATATAAGCTTCTTTGGGAATTTAAATCAAAAGAATAAAAATAGCCTTGCGAAATATATTAAGAGAATGCAAAGTTTAAACAGGAATAAGGTGAAAGCAAAGCACTGAAGAAAAGAAAGCAGTAGTCCGTATGGATATCTTTAATATAATGCATTTTCAGTTTTATAATAGATTTGGAAACAAAAAATGTTTAGCATATTTTTCTAAATAGTCTCATAAATTTAAAAGTACAAAATGAAAAATCATTGGTTTTATAAAAAAAAATCAATGCTTAATATATTTTGATCTACTGCCTTTACTAATTGCAGAAGTCATTAATTGACTTTTTATCAAATTATCTGTTATCACTGTTAACTGCACTATGTGGTTATTTTATTTATTGAACAGTATTTTCATTTTTTATTATCCTACTAAACGTTTTCTCTTGCCACACCAAACAAATATTGTGGCTAATTTACATCTTATATAAACGTTTCCCTCTTTTTACTAGTATTTCCTAGCAAAATTCTTTAAAATTGGATACACAAAATTGAAAAACCTGTCACCAAAGACGCTAATGAATAACTTCGCTGAAAAGGACAAGACCACCAAAAGATAATTACAATTTAATTAAATCTAACATTAAAAAAACTGACCTCTACTTGTGCATTTTCGAAACAATATTATGTTATATATTCCACATTGCCATAATTGAGACAATCCATTCCAAAACTCATTTTATTTAAAAATTCATTTGTGAAAATAAACATGTGTGAATTTTTTATATAATAGAAAGCATTATTTTGTCATTTAAGCTGATGATTAGCTAATTTACATTTGAAAAAATTGATTATATTCTTGTTTTATATTTTAGCTCTGAATTTATTTTAATTTTTTTTCCATATATAGTGTTAAGTGACTGTTTATTTGTATAAATGAGTTTTAGAATGGATGTATCAATTCAGATAAGCAATGGTTTACATAATGACCTGACAACCTCTTTATAGTTAGGAAAAATAAGTAAATGGTGGATTCTTTTACTATTTATTAAAATAAATACTGCTAAAAGATAAATATAGGAATATTCATAAAGTGCAACAATTATATTTAAAATTTTAAAGATAGTTACATCATATCGCACATTTATTAATTCATATAAGAGACGCTTAATATTCTTAATGCTATACTGACATTACAATAGATTGGGAAATGTTTGGTCATAGAAGACAATATACTTATTTAGGTGGTATTTATAAAAACGAGGTGGCTAGACATACGATCTTATTACCCATGTATAGAAATCTGTGAAAGCGCGTTAGATTGTCATGAAATTGTACAACCCTTCTGGTCTAAACAGACCTAATACGAAAGAAACTCAAAACTCACAAGGTAAAAAACATTTCTTCTTTAGATTTACATTCAGCAAAAAATGTAACCTTTCTTTAAGATAGATTTAGCTTATGCTTAGATTTCTGATAAAACATGTGACAGGGTTCAAAATTTGTTTTAGAAGAGAATTTAATTAGATAGTTAATATATATATCCTAATATTCGATAAAAATTATCAAAATCTGATGATCTACCGCCGAGAGGTACTATCACAAAAACCAGTACCACTAAAGCTATAACTCTCGATGTTAGTATCAATCAAGGCAGTTGTAGCAAGAAACCACTACTAATGAATTCCTTACCACAAGAAAGGACCATGCAAAATCAAAAAAATCAGAATGACTCAAGTTCCTTCGCCAAAAGGTCCTTTAAATTTGACTTCGTCGCGACAAGATCCTGTTAGTCTACCATACATTTTTAGTGCCGAACCTATTCCAGAACTTTATTGGGTTACTAATCAATTCTCGGAAACTAATCAAGAGCTGAGTTATTACCAACTATATTAGTATCAATTTTGGGACTGGAGATATTAATTAAGACGATAGCAATGGTGAAAAAATACTTAACGAGTGAATTAATAATTCTCCGTATTCTGACAAAAACGAAGTAAATCAAATATTACCAAATGGAAACACCTAGAGAACAGTGATAATTGATATGAGGAAACTAAACTATAAGTAATGCTCCCAGCATTAATGTTTTTATTATGAATATAACATTCGAAGAAATGGATGAAAATTTCGCTCGAAATTTTAATTAATGACATCGAATATAAAATTCATGATTAAGGGTGAGAACATTCGCCTATAATGAGTCTCCTGTCAAAACTCGCCCTGCTAACTAGTTGTTTTTAGGCAGTAATATTTATTCTCACTTGATTTTAGCAAAATACGAAGTTTTGGTGGTATATTGAGTATCAGCAGTTCATCATTGAAAAAATGTAATATATTACTCAAATACAGCAAAATATTCGATGTAATTCACTATTAAATATTGTTAAGGGCATTGCTTTAATTCTATTTGGTATGTCCAAACTGAAACATGGATACTGATACAAATTATTGCTCATCCGCCACTGTTGATTACTTTCCGAGAATGGACTATTATTCACATATAGTTTGGGAGAAGTTTCGGCATTGCCTAATAAATTCTTTACCACTTTAAGTTCTCTTTCTGTTGTAAAAATTTAGGTTGTTTAGCGTTTGTTTAACTTGTAGACTATTTTTTATTGTGGTGAGGAACTTAACAGTTATTATTGCTTGGTAATACTAACATGGTTGATACTAACAACCAGAGTTTATAACTTTATTCGTGTTGGTTTGAGTGATGCTACTAATGATCAATAAACCAATTGGAGAGAATTTAAATTTGTCGACTATTGCGTATGTCGGATCACATCCCGCCATATAAACAGAAAAAAATTGCTGTTTCTTCTAACAGCAAAACATCTATCTTGCTTGACACTATTAAACTCTACCAAACAAACTGCGAATCCTGACAAATGTTATCAGAATTATAAGCAAATTCTTGAGACGATGGTTTCGATAGATATACTGACTTTAGAAAAGAGCAATTTTTCTTGCTTTTCATATTCGAAAATATTGATTCCATATTCACGATTGAAGATGTCAGTACATAAAATAGTATCATCTCCAAAAGTACTACTGCACTATATATTATACCATCACAACAGCCAACCACTAAGGTTATTACCCACGTTGGTACTATCGACAATGCTAGTTTTGCCAAGAAACACGAGCACGAGCTCTTCACCATATGAAAACAGCCTCTGCACGTTCGATAAATCAAAGTACACCAGAAGGTCCTATAAATTTAACTTTTCCATCGCGATGTTGTGTATAAACACAAACTGCTATAGCTGAAAGATCTTAAGAAGGTAATGAATACACTAGTGTCTTTTTATGCTAACATTTCCTGAACAACAAACATGTGTTCAGAAAATGAACACCTGATGCACCTGGGTCCCGTCTCCTGGAGTTTTATGGAAATTCGATACAAAATTAATGCACATTCGTTATTCGGGAGTTTTTGGGAACACTGATCACGAATATCATGACCCAGGCCGGGCCTCGTCTCCTAGAGTTTTGTGGAAATTAGATACAAAATTAGTTAGTCGGGAAGTTTTTGGGGTCGCGAAACACAACATTATCTCGGCAGTGGTCTTTGAGACACCTGGTGCCCACGACGGGAATCTTCTTTAGTTTTATGGAAACTACCTGGTGCCAAGGACAGGCTTCGTCCTTTGAGCATAAAAACCACTGGGTAACGGGTTTGCACTGATTTTGTATCAAATTTTATATCGAATACAAAGATAAAGGTGATGTTTGTCAGTAAAACGCCAATACAACCAGAAGTAATAACACTTACGAAGAACAACTTGAGAGAACCAACAAAATCACTCACCTTGGTTGTAATCTAAATGAGAAGTGGGACATGAGCAATGAAATTAAAATATGTATAGAGAATGTCACAGCTGCATTTTATAAGATGATACTCTGCTCAGAAACTGAGAGCTTTGAAATCTGTGTGTATCGGAGAATCCTAAAAAGAAAATTTGTTTTGCTGCGTATGGAAAAAGTTATGGAAGTGAGAGAGATGCGCCCAGAGAGATATAATATACTCCATTTAATAATTTAAGGCAATATAGAAGGAAGAAGAAGTAGGTCTTGGCTTAGAAGAAGAAGCATTTTAACACGATACAGTAGTAATAATAAAATAGACAAATTACTGTGTGGAGTTCAAAGCAAATATGTTACCTTCAAACGAGGTTGTTGGTAATATATTTAAAATTGTAACACAATAATATGGTATAGTATATTATTAAATTAGTACATTAAATTGTATAATGATAAAAGAGCGAAGAAGTTTCTCTAGAAGGAATTAATTAAATGAGCAGTGAAGATTGAAAAATATAAGATTATAAGTAAACTTGTGAGTGAAGATTTCTATTGTATTTCATACAATGGAAGTGTTTAATGATTTGGAATAAACGTTTTTATGCAGCAAACGATCCCAAATTTGATATAAATGGGTAATAATTGGTCGACCTATGTCAGCCTGTGTAATATTTCGGTGATTTGTTTTAATTTGTAAAATAAAATTTGGTGATTCGTAAGGGTGCACCCTTTTGAGAATAGAATATTTGATCTCGCCAAGGACATCACTACCTACTAGAAAAGCACCATAGGATTATTATCACATCTCACCACAAGTTAATATGTTCAAATTGATCAAAGAAAAGTTTATGGGGCAAATGGGCGTTGGTTAAAGTGAGAAATTCCAACGGAATAAGAAGTTGCAGTTCATGTTAATATTGTTGGACATGGGCCTTAGAGATTTCAGTTAAAATTTTGTTTTAGTGAAGTATTGTCCTGTGGATAGTCTTGAATCAGAAGTAGCAAATACTACTAATTCACAAAATCTATATCTCTATTTGACACCACATATTGGCAGTATTTCAAAATACTCTATCACTAAGATTGCATCTAGATAACCATGTAATAACAACCTTGATTGTGGAAAAATTAACCGACAACTTTATTACAAATATTTAAATTAGTGTTAAAAAGAATGATATACAGAGTTTTAAAAAACTTCACTGCAAGAGACTTTAAGTCCACACTTGCCTCTTTTACACTCTACATATATATAATAGTCTTTGAATCTTTAATGTACTTTTTGGTTCCAAGAGATTTTCTAAAATTATAGAAGTACACATTTGGGTTTGGATTTCTTTATCATCTTCACTGGAGATTTCTTATTGACTTGTCGAACTAGATCATAAAATATCTGAAAATAATAAAGAAGTTAGATTATAGATTAAATTTGATTAACTCGAAATTCAATAATATTGCAACTGACTCATTTTTTAAATCCTAAACACTTCGCTACCTGAGTATTACAAGGGTATATGTAACAAAATTAAAAACTCTAATTTTAAGATAACTAGGTTCTATGTATCATAAGACACCCATAGAACTTTGTAAATCTAAAATATATGCATGCAATCCTCTAAAGTTAAACGAAAATCATTGGTGTATATTATGAAAATATGAAAAGAGCGCAACATAGTCCTTTGTTAAACATACGACTTTGTTTTTCTCAAAATTTTAGTGAACTTTCCAAACTCAGAATAACAAGGTCCTATGTAGTATATAGAAACTGTCATCACTTATTACTCGATTTATAGGTTATGTTACATGTAAACAACGTGTGTGTTGATTTCATTCTCTGTTAATTTATGTAATAAATGTAAATAAATATAATTTATTATTGTTAAAGAGCATATTAATATGTTCCCTGTAATAGAAAGCCATTATTGTAGGGCTGATACTAAAAGAAAATATGTGGAAAGTGACCTATCACTGCAAAAAATGTACAATATGTACGAGGATTTCATAAAAGAAAGACTTGACTCCAGTAAAACTTAATGTTTATCGCAAAATATTTTTGCACTGAATTCAATTATTTATTTAATAAACCTTTAAAAGATCTATGTGACCTCTGTGCTGAAATAGATTGCTTGAAGAAAGAAAACACCCTTAATGAAGAAAAGAAAAAGGAATATGAAAAACACTTGCAAGAAAAAAATTTAATGAGAGAAGAGAAAAAGGCGGATATTGAAAATGGTAACGCAGTACTTGGTTTTGACTTACAAAATATATTGACATGTCCAAAAGGAGACGTCAAAAATGTCTTTGCCCAAAGAAAGCTAGTGTTTAACATGAATTTTTCATAAACCGGAATGTTTATTGTGCGATTTGTCAGAGGCAATGCATGGTCGAGCTGGGAATGATATGCTATATACCGAATCCTGAAAAGCGTTGTAGAAGACTATCGCAATAGATTTGAGTTTTGCTATTGCACATATTTTAAAAACTAATAAAAACTAATAAGAACTTAAAAAAAATTAAAATGAAGTTTTTAGTAGATGGATATTCCTGCATACAAAAGTCAGTTAGAGAAAATCTGAATACTTTTCTCCACTTTCGTTATTAAGAGCCCTTTTGAAAGCAAACACAAGAAAGCCTTACACCATACTTCAAATGAAAGAGCAAGATTTTCTGTATTTTTCAACCTATTCATCAAAACTGAATTATACTGCAGTTCCATTTTCAAAGGTGGTTTCTTTATTTACAATTTACTACATATTTTTATGACATCGGTTTCCGAACTACTTTTAACGAACGTGAATACAAAATCATCAGTTTAAGACAATGGAATGCAAGGAGGCATACTGAAAATTACGAAATACCCATATCAATAAACAAAAATGATATTAAAGTCACCCTGGCACAAAACAAGATGGAAGCTCTGCAAGGTTTTTGCATTTTTCGTTTTTTATTACAGTCACGAAGTTATTTTATTTTTTTAATAAAACTATGGAAAAAATTAAATATTTTCTATTCCTTTTTTTTTAATATGCTCTTGTAGTAGACTTTCAGCTATGTCAACCAACCTTGTAATTCTTAGGCAGCGACTTATTAGGAAGCGACTAAATACTGATGTATTTACCACCACACAAATTAGCACCTCAAGAGGCACTTAAATATCACGAAATGGACAGCGGGAGCATCATCTTTATCGATAGTAATAAAATACTTATAACCAGAGTCATGCAAATATGCCAAAGTGCATATGCATATTTTTATATTTTATTTTGAATTATGCATAGGTCTTAAAGAAAACCCCAAAAAAGGGAGTCCAGAATTTGAATTGGAACACTGGGGGTGATAATAAGCAAAACCAGGGAAATAATGCCAGAAATATAAGAAAAAATATTATTTTAAAGAGATTAAATCATATTTTGCAGATAAAAAAATACTTAAAAGAAAAATACTGACTAAGAAAACTGAGGTGAACACAATAATTAGACCAATATTATATAGGGTGTTTCATTACGAATTGTCCATATAGTAACTGGAGAAACCTTAGCACAAAATATATCCTGAAATTGATCAAATCCTCTAAAAATAGAGGATCTTCTAATTTTTAAGGTCAGTTTGAACAAACTTTATTCTTGATTGGTCGAAAAATATCTAAAGACAAATGACAATCAGTAGTTAGATATAATGTGATGAAATTCGATTTCCTTTTTTTGGTCGACAGTGTGTGGTTTATTTGTCTTCCTATTTTGTTATAAAATAAAAATAAAAGTTTAAAATATCTTGGAAGCCAGGAATAAGTTTCTAAATAATTGATTTATATCAAGAAAGAAGCTGCTTATATAATGTCAAACATACACATTATTATAAACAATCCTATCGGCTTTTTTTTATTGTGGATAAGAAAAATTTGAATCGTAAATAAGATACAAGCAACTAATAAATAAGCAAAAAAAGACAATTAATTTCATTGACGTACGTCAATTTGATCAAATTTGTATTTAAAAATACATTGCATAATTTTCCTAGCGTATGAGTCCTTAAAATGATTTTCCTGACTATTGAATTTCGAGTATATATTAGTTAATTATCAAACATTATACAGAGTGTCCCACAAATAATCGATCATACGGCAATTGAAGAAATAAGAGATTAAAATATTTTAGTAAAATGTTTATTGTATACAAAAATACCTGGTATTAAAAATTTGTAATAATTTGCAAATATCTAAATATATAATAAGATAAAAAAATATTTATAAATAGTGCTAATAAGCTGAAAAAATACAACTGCTTCAATGTTAAATAATAACAATTTATCTTAAACAAAAAAAAGTCTGTATATTTGCATCTATATATTTGCATCCTGGAATGATGCTGTTATATTACAGGAAGATCTTAAATCGTTTTATGATTGGTGCACTTTAAACAAAATGTCACTCAATATAAACAAATGTCATAAAATGACATTCTCGAGGCAAAGAAATCCAATTACATTTGTTTACTACATAAATAACTTGCCATTAGTCGCGAAAAATGAATTATTAGATTTGGGAGTTTGATTAGACACCAAACTGTCATTCTCAAGCCACATTAACCAAGTAACAAACAGAACGATGAAAGCGCTGGGATTTATCCAACGCACATCTGTGGATCTGTCTTTATTTACATTTAGAAGACTTTATTGTGGTCTCGTTAGACCCATTCTTGAGTTTGGATCAGTTGTATGGTCCCCCTCATACCACTGTTACATTCAAGTAACAGTGGTACAAGTTTACATCAGTGGGTAAGAGATAGTCTTAACTTACCAACACTTGAGTCAAGGAAGACATTGTTAGATTTATGTTTCTTACACAAAGTTATCAATGCTTTTATAGATTGTCCTCAACTCTTATCGCTTGTTAGTCTTAAAGTTCCTAGTAGAAGCAACAGACAATCAGAAATCTTTTCGGTGCCATTTCACCACACTAATTATGGTATCAATGAACCAACTACACGATTGGTCCGGAGTGCTAATAGCTTGCAAAGACAAATAGATATTTTTGACTCCAAAATTAGTTTGTTTAAAAAACAACTAAAAAGTATCTTACAATAAGTTGTTTGTACATTTGTATTATTCTTATATGTTTGTATTATTCTGAGGTGTTTGTTATTTGAATGGTTTATTGTTGTTAAGATGTAGCTTTGTAAGACTTGTGATTGTTATTTTAATAATATATTGTTTTTGTTTGTAAGTAATTGAAATTGTAAGTAAATGGATGCAGTATATAAATAAATAAAAAAATGTTTGAAGAAATAGTTCTCTTTTTGTGAAAGGTATATTATTAATCTGAAAAAATCTTATTTTTTTGAAGGATCTAAATGGTATATAAGGGGTGACACATCCTTGAAGATGTACAGCTAATTAAACAATCATAAATTGCCTATAAAACATTTTTTACATATTTTAGAGAAAAATGGTTCAAATAAAAGTTGTAGATCGTAAAAAGTTCTTTAATTTAGGCTAGTTGTTAAATTAAAATACATGAACGATTGACTGAGATTAATGAAAAAACCTTATAAACTATTTGGTCGATCTGTTTAAAATGTAACACATTTTAATAACTCATTAACTGTCACAATTTTAAGTAGTTCTTCTTCCTCCTCTTTATAAGCAATTCTGTTTGTTCATTGGCGGATTAATGCCTCTATGGAAGGTTGTCACTCCATCTTTTGCGCGGTCGTCCGATACTTCTTCTGCAGATTGGTGACTTATCTCTTGCTATTTTGACGACACGGGTCTTCTTCATTCTGATTATGTGGTTATTTCATTCTTCTTTTTTATTTTGTGTCCATTCATTTATACACTGTACGTTACATTTTCTTCTAATGTCTTCACTTCTCTTTTGATCGCTCAGCGTATTTCCTGTAATTATTCTCAGTACTCTCATCTCTGCAGTTTCCAAGAGCATTTGTGGCTGTGTCGGGTCTTGTTTCTGAGGCGTATGTCATTATTGGTCTTAGAGTGGCTTTATAAATTCTTTACTTCTTCATCTGTGTCAATGTGTCTGTTTCACCATATAGTGTTATTAAGGCATCCTGCCAGTCGATTTGCTTTTTGTACTTGATCTCTCACTTCTTTGTTCAGATCTCCATAGCTAGACAGTGTAATTCCCAGGTATTTTATTTCCATTACTTGTTCAATACTAATGCCATCAATTTCTATTTTACATCTGGTTTGTTCTTTGCTGGCTACTATTGTTTTAGTATTCTGAGATGAGATTGTCATATTAAATTCTTTTGCTCTTATGTTACAGAGTATTTTGACTTCTTTGTTTCCCATTCTGTATGCTCTTCCTTTGTTAAGGGTTTTGATGATTTCATCCATGATCAAATTGAAGAGCATGGGGCTCAATGAATCCCTTTGTCTTATTCCGCTGCCGATTTCTATAGGTTCTGTAAGTTGTCCATCTATTCTGACTTCAACTTTGTTGTTTTGGTAGATGTTATTGATAGTTTTTATAATATTTAGGGTAACTTCTCTATTATACAGAAGATGGTTTACATCTTTGAGTCTTACCCCGTCAAACGCTTTCTTTAGGTCAATCAGACACAGAAATGCTGGTCTATTATACTCTAGTGATTTCTCAGTAATTTGCTCTATAACGAATATTGCATCTGTACACGATCTTTTACAGTGAAAACTCTGTTGTTCATCTGCTGAACTTATCCTCTGATTTATTAGCACTTACAAAATTTTAGTTGTAAGTTATAGCGTAGTATTTAATAAGTTTATACCTCTGTAGTTTTCTGGCTGTTTGTTATCTCCTTTTTTGAATAGAAGAATTAGTTCGCACGTTCTCCATTCTTCCGGTATTTTATTGTGTTTTATAATTTTATTAATGATGTTGTTAATTGTTCTGTCATTGCTGCTCCATAATATTTCAGTAACTCGTTTGATCTCCCATCTTTACCTGCTGCTTTTCTGTTCTTCAGGTTTTCAAGTATTGTCCGAACTTCCTGTACATTTATAGTGAGTCCTTTATTTGTGGTAATTTCTGATGTTTCCGGTTCTAGCGTCGTTTGTTCTTTCTCTGCTTAAAACTTTTTTAGGTAGTCATCCACGTATCCTTTTGTATGTGTTTTGGTTCTATTAGTTCATTTACCTCCGTTCGTTGACCTCTTAAGAAGCGCCATATTTCCTTTTGCAAACCGTAAAAATCATGTTCCATTTCTTTTGAAAAGCGTTCCCAGTGATCATATTTTATTTCCTTACAAGTGCATGTGTTTCGTTTCTAATTGTCTTATAATTATGGTCTCTTGTGTTTTGGTTGACATGTATTTCAGGTAAGCTTTCTTCCTTTTCTTTACATTTTTCCTTCACTTCTGTACAAAACCATGGAGTTCTTCGCCTTGGGAACGATTTATTTTGATTTATATTTCTTTCACCACGAACTTCCTTGGCCGAGGCTAAGATATTAGACTTAATTTTTGCCCAGCTTTCTTCAACTCCATCACTTTCTGTGATATATATATTTCTGCTTTTTTTGATTATTCTTTTTTGGAGTAGTTATTACATGTAATTATGCAAACAGCAAAGTTATTAACATTTATAAATTACTGCAAAAATAAGGGTATCTTGCAATTATCTCTGTCAATTGTTTATGTATTTTAATTTGGAAACTCGAAAACAAAGTATGATCTACAACTTTTGTTTGAACAATTTTTCTCTAAAATGTATAAGAAACGTTTTACATAAAAAAAAATTTTTTAACACTTTTTAAGATTGTTGAAAAAACAACAAAACAAACTAAGTACGTCTTCACGGATTTGTCATCAGCTACCCCTGATTTAGCTTTTAGAACCTTCAAATATCCTTTTGTCGCGGATATACTGGTCTATATAAGTTCACAATTCGAATCTGGTCAACCTGGAAGCTTAAAGATTATGGAAATTCATAGGTAGGGCAGACAAATGTTAATACTTATAAAGTGATATAAGGTTTAATGCTTGATTAAATGAATTTTAATTCATTCATTCTCTCTCCTGATGTCACCCAATATGTAGCTTCTTCGAATTTATAATAATTTGAAACTGTTTGTCCTTTGTCTCGTGTGGTGTAAATGTATCAATTAACGTTTATGACATTCACCATATTGTTAGATAGCCTAATTTTGACGAAATGTCCCTGGAGATGCTCTAGGAGCGAAAGTACTTGGGCAAGATTTAAGAAAAACTGTGCTCGGCATCTACCTTTATTTGATTAAAATTCATTTATACTTATGTTTTTAGGCCACGGATCATTTACAAATACCACGTTCATCAATAACATACTCAGAAATTAAGGAATTATCATCTTCAATCACTCTATAAGAAATCCGCAAGCATCTCCAGAAAAGTACCCTGAGGAATTGTCAATATGGCGCACTTTTGATTGTTATGTTTCTCCTGTTCTTCCCACTGGTACATAAGAAGTTTCTTTTGATTGTTATGTTTTTTGTGTCCGTCCAACTGGTACAGCTACATCCAGAGCAATAATAGAATTCCCGGGATAAGACAAAATATTACCTAGATCCGTATTTATCTGCTATAGCCAGAGAAAAATTATTTGCTTCAGGATAATCGATCCCTTGTGAAAACTTTTTTAAAGCAAGACCATTTGTAAGTGAAAGAAGGAGAAGGTTGAGCGAGAAGAATGCAAAACTGTATTTTTCAATGCCAATTTTAAATATCTATAATTGTTAAAATTTGTTTTGTTTTACAATTTAAAACCACCTACTACGGAGTGATCACGATCATGTTTTTAGTATAATTACTGTTAACAGCTGTTAATGTATATAAAAGAATGGTGATCATGCTCATAGGTTAAAATCACCGCTATTAAAAAGTCATGATCACTGATCACGGCGTGATTTAAAAATCACCACGTTCACCATCACTACAATAAACATTCTACTAAGGTAAAACGGAGCACTTGCATTTTTAAAATAAAAATTTAAAAAAATTTAATTCTCTTTAAACTTTTATTATTATAATAACGTAAACACAAAACGAAACAAACTATTTTAAGCAATTACTAATAAAAAATTAACTTTTGAACAAAGAACTGTTTTAGTAGATAAGAATTTAAAAACTAAGGAAAAAACCGTAAGTAAATGTAACAAAATGACATTCAATTATTGAAAACTTTAATCATGTGTCCGGACAAACTGATTTTAATAACGAATGTTTCCTCCACGTGCCTGAATTATTGCCTGAATTCTCCTTGGCATGCCTAAACTCAAATGAGAAATGTCCTGTTAGAGAATAAGTTCCCATTCCTCTAAATGGGCTTCTTGAAACTAATTTAAGGTTAAAGGGACAGGAACAGGACTTCGTATCCTTCGTCCAAGGATACATTTTTACATCGGGCACAATGCTGGCCAATCCATTACGGGAATGTTTACTCCATTTAAAAACTGTTGAGTAATTCTCGCACTGTGAGGCTTGACATTATCATGCATCAGAACAAAGTCATTTCCAATAAAACCAGCATCAGGCACAACACCTTTTCACAAGATTTTGTTGTGCCTGATGCTTTTCACAAGCACAAGAATTTCATCAATGTACGTGGCAGCTGTTTTAGAGCCTTCCGGAACCATGTACAATTCTGTACGTGCCTCTAGAGAAATTCCAGCCCCCCAACATAATTGAGCCCGATAGCCTACCCTAGGACTGAAGGTACATTCTGCAAAATGCTCATGTGGTCTTCGCCATACTCTCTCACGGCCATCTAGAGATCGCAAGGTAAACCTGCACTCATCGGTAAATAAAACGTACATCTAATTATTTAGAGTAAAATGAGCATAGTTTCTGGCAAACTGATGGCGCAACTCGATGATGTCCGAGACGTTGTAGGCCTGTTGCAGGTCTGCGACTGCAAAATTTGCTTCTCCAAGACTTCGACTGATTCGTTTACTTACGTTAGTATTCCGGACGCACTGAAGTTGATTTCGGATTTGTACAGCCGTGACACGACGATCATCACGGGCATTAGTTCTTCGTTGGGGACCGGTTCCAGGTCGTCTAGTGTAAGCTTCGGTTGCCAACCAAGAAACGTGTAAAAGTACGGTGCACAGTACTGTTGGATATTTGATAATACGTTTGAGCTACATATCGCTCACTTCCTTTGTCTTGAAGCAACGCATACGCAACAATAGCAGCCGCTGTTTCGAGATTTACAACCATAATTCTTGAGATTAAATCAACGCAATTTAACTTCAAGTTGTGTTTGAGACTTGATGCGACTAGACAGTTTACTTACATCAACAATACCAAAAGAATAACAATAGAATACCAATAGCTACCTTTGCACTTTTAAAAGTTATAAGAATAGTGTATCTTTTATTTTCGATTTTGTATGCATACTCTTTTTTCGGATAAGCACTTAAGTTTTATTAGAAATTGCTTGAAAAGAGTTTGTTTCGTTTGTGTTTATGTTCTTATAACAATAAAAGTTTAAAGAGAATTAAAATTTTAAGTTTTGATTTTAAAAATGCAAGGGCTCCATTTTTCGTGCCGGTGAATGCATGATGCTTTTCATTTTTTGAGAGGAAACATCACACAAACTACCTATGGTTTTTCCAACGTATAGGCTGTGTCCTTGCATCTTCGGCTATCGCAGACATGGTCGACAGCTGATCGCTTCCTCAATTAGCAATCAGCCAATCAATATAATATAATCGATATAAAATTAAATCGTGTATACTCACATCATAAACATTTATTTTTGATTTGGCAGACGTTTCCATAAAAACACAGCTAAACTGACGGGATAGACTCATCCCTTGTTCTTTGCCGACAACTCTCTCATCTTCCAAATCACACTTATTACCAACTAGAACCATCGGAACATCATCAGTGTCCTGTAAAAATTAAAATATAGTTTATTACACAAAATCAATGCATTTATTAGACAGAGCAAGTTGTAATAAAACCTATTTATTATTAAAGGGAATGACCGGATGTTGTGAGTCTCAGTTGTTTAACACACAAGAACATCAATCCTAATTTGTCCAAATGACACGTCTAAATAGTGAAGATATTAAATATATTTATCTAGCAAGCAGTGAAGATTGTCGCTTGCATAGTAACAATTCAGAAATGTGACAATCAATGCAACAAGTTTTGGCAAATTTGTTTTTGGTTTCCGTAACGTTTTTAAAAAAATGAATAAAGCCTCCAGAACCTATTTAACTTAAGTGGGAGATTATAATCGATTAAAAAATAAGGTAGTAAACAGCTTCATATAATACAACAGATATTCTTAAAAAAAAACCTAAAAAACTATATTGAAAACGTGTTAAAATGCACTAGGTGTTTCTTATGTAAAACTAAAGGGTTGAAAGTAAGAAGCAGGTAGTAGAGCATAAATGTGTGCAGTTCAATGGAATTCATTTACATAGTGTACTGCTTTAGTATTTCCGTAATTAAGAAAAAGGTACATTTATGACAACGATTCTGGTAAATTTACTCTTGAATTACATTACTCAACAATTGAAGTGGATAATTTTAAAATTCCTAAAATTAACATATAAAACTATTTTTAAAATAATTACCTGTACTATACTCTATATGCTATCTTTATTGCCAATATTTTTTGCATGCGGTTTTTTTCTCCCTATTCTTATCGGCCCTTATCTCGTACAAAGAGAGAAATGTTGTTCCAAACATGAATATATCATTCGTATGAAAGTGCTTGTATTGGCTTTACCAGTTGTCAATAAGTCAAGAAATCTATTTATCACAAAAACATTATGCCGCAAAGACGTTTAAAACTAGTGCAGCTCGAGCAATTAGTTCGTTGGATCCAACAAGGCATAACTCAACAAGAGGTTGCTATGAGGCTAAATGTGTCGCAAAGTGTGATAATTCATGCATGGAATCGGTATGTAGCAACTGGATCTGCAACATACAGGCATGGAGGAGGAAGAAAACGATCTACAGCTCGTCAAGACCGTTTTGTAGTTCTGACGGCACGAAGAAACCCAACATTCACAGCTTCCAGAATTAACAGTATCTTCAGACATGCTACTGCACGAGCGATTTCCAGTCAAACTCTCCGAAGACGGTTACATGCATCCTAGTGACTTAGTGGTTTAAGGGCTAGACTGCGCGCTACCCATCCACGACTAATTAGAGAGCAGCGTGCATGCAGATATCGCTGGGCGATGGAACACTATCAGTGGAATTTCGAAAATTGAAGGAATTGTCTCTTTACTGACGAGTCCAGATTTCGTTTGTATACGAATGATGGCCGAATATTGGTGTGGAGGGAAAGAGGACAGCGTTACAATGAAAATCTGAGAGTCCCAACCACTCTTTTTGGAGGTGGACCCGTTTGCGTGTGGGAAGGCATATGTTTTGACGGTCGCACGGACTTAGTCGTCTTAATTAATGAGACAATGACTGCTACACGATATCGAGACAGAGTCATAGTACCAATAGTTGTTCCATTTTTTGGTGCAATAGGCGAACAATTTGTTCTGATTGATGATAATGCTCGCCCTCACCGTGCGAGAATTGTCAACGAGTGTATAGAAGCTCATGGCATTACAAGAATGGAGTGGCCACCATGTTCACCTGATATGAATTGCATTGAACATGTCTAGACAACAAAACAGACTCCTTCAACCGCCCCAAACCTTAGATCAGTTTGGCCAATACATTACGAGCGATTTGGGAACGTATACCGCAGCAGTTCATCAATAATTTAATAAGAGGTCTTCCAAATAGAGTTAGAGCACTAAGGCGACACAGAGGTAGACCCACACACTATTAATTTTTCTTTTCGAGATATTAGAAATTGAGCAGGAGTAGAAATTTTAGGTTGTTAATTTTGTTAATTTTTGTTTATTTTCTATTTTTTTTTTCTTAAAGAATTTCTTTCTTTCGGTTCATCTGTATGAAAATACGAAGTAAAAATAAATCTTTATTTATGTCACTCCATTTTTCTATTTGACCTTATGAACAAAAAATAAAATGTAAATTTTCATAATATTATCCACTTCGATTGTTGAGAAGTGTAGAGAGGAATAGGGATTTGTGAAGATAACAGGCAGATAACAATCACAACAGATTAAAATTGGAATAAAAATACTCCTCAAATGAAAAAAGGCATTCACTGTAAGGTATATAAAGGTATATAAAATTAATAAAAGTCACTATGTGGCACTATGTTATAAAACTTAATGGCGAAATACCTTAAACCATTTCTGGATCTCTCAAGACGGCCGAATTATGGTAAAAGATGTTGTTTCTAGTGGGATAATTGTGAAAATCCTCATGCACATTGTATTGGCTAAGATTTTGTTTAATGTGCAACAGACATTGCATAATAGATACACAAGGTAAAATTAAAATTTCAAAATAACTTAAGGAGTTTCTGCAGTCTGCTCTATAACCGAGCCCAGAGATAATATGAACAAACTTTTTTGTCCAAACACTATCAATATGACAAGAGTGACCCCAGGACTCCCAGGAGAGAACAACATAAGTTAGATTAGCATGAAAGTTACTATGATCAGATAATATAGTTTCCCTGGAAGTCACTTGTACAATATTCCTAAAAAGTAAAAGTTGTCGGGAAAGCTTTTTCAATCCATTAACTATATGTTGTTCCCAGGATAATCCCGCATCCATAAACTTTGCCCCGGTTGCACATTGTGGTAGAGCAATATATCCAATATCAGTGTTATGTGTTAAAGCAAAATTAACACTTTGTGATTTAGAGTCGTTTAAAGAGACAGTGAGTTAAATTCAGAAGGTGATAGCTTACATAGAAAGTAATGTTATCAGCAAATAAAACAGTGTTAATTACCTTTGGAACTATGCTAGGCCAATAACATAAATATGAACTAATGTCTGACCCAAAACCGAGCCTTGAGGGACACCATACATCAGAGATTATTTTTGAGAATCACACTGGTTGAAGTGAACATACTGATTACGATTTGATATATACGAATCAATTAGTTGAATAGCAAAACTATGAAAATTCATTCAACGGTTGTGAAAGAAAACGAGAATTCTCCTGACATAGGACGAAAAAAGTTTGTTGGAAACATTATTTGGATATAAAACATGATAAGGAGAATTGGATATCATTACTAATCGATAACAAAGAAATAATACAAAATTTATTTCCAATCTTAATTAATTTCAATTTTACACACTCCTACTCAAACGCATTTGATTGTGCAAGAGTCAGGAATCCAGTCTAAAATTACTCGTGCAGTTGCGATGGAAATAACTAAAATCTATAAAAACAAATTGAGTTCAGTGTTGGAACTTTCCAGGAATTTTGATTAAACGACAGTTTATTAAAGATTACGATAGTGCTAATCCAGATTTGTTGCTACCTGAGAAAAAATATTAAGTCCCGTTTTATTACCGTTGGGTTATAAATACCTGTACCTGAGTGATGGAATGTTACTTTATTGCTGGTCAATTTTTAACTTCACTGTTGTATAGTGTACCTTTAAAATGATTTGTAAGAATTTTATACAAATGTTGTATTTTGTGAGGAGGGCACACTTGATAAATCTAATATATGGTATTAAGCAGATTAAAACATAATTATCCTACAACGCCAGAACAAGGAATAATCAAAATATGGGACTAGTTACATGGGAAGATATAATGAACAGGAATAACAGCTTATTCTGGTATGAGTCAGATACGTGAAGAAACCGAAATATCCGATAAATCAGTTTAGCTTTGTACAAGGCAGATCAAAAACAGATGCAATTTTTATTATAAGGCAGTTGATAGAAAAATAAGATTGTACACAGAATGGTATAATAATCTTATAAACATTTACAATAACTCCGTAAAATTTAGTTCAAATTAAATGGCGAAAAATATTTGAAAGGCTGGTTACAAAACAGAACTTTTAAAACCAAAAAAATTATGATGGTCCGTTTTAAAAAAAAAATCACTGTAAGGTTTTAACAGTAAGTAATTAACAACTTTAAGGACTGAAATAAACCAACCTTTTATAAGTGTCAAAGTTGTTAACACAATTTTTAGCAAACAATATTATTACAAATTGTTTGAACAGGAGTGTAAACAGGGTACTTTGCGTTCCGACTAGATCCAAGGAGTGAGGGTAGCCGAATGAAATACCAGCCCTGCTTTAAAAAAAAATATAACCCAGTTTCAAAAGAGAGCGGTCCAAAAATGACATATCTCGGGTTATACTAGACCAAATTTGCCATTTCGTTGTCTAAACTGGGATACAACGTCCAAATAAGATTTATCAGCTATAAAGTAGCTAATAACTACGAAATGTACAAATATTTTTTTAAGTGGTCATTTTATTTTATTGTGGTTAATCATAGTGGTTAATTTATTATTTATTTATTTAAAATTTAATTATATTAAATAAATGTTATTTATAAACATTATTAAATTGTTATTGATAAACAATTTTTTTCATACACTTTTACTAAATTTGAACAAATCAGTTTTTTAGTATTAAAAAAATTATTTTTAGAACAAAAAATCGTAATTATGAGAAATTATATCTTCTTAAGTTTAAATTAATTAGTATGGGCACACTGGCTAGGAAAAATATTCTCATTTCATATCTTTGCACAATGTTACTTGAAATAGTCCTCTTATAACAAAAATGCATGTTACCAAGAGAAAATGATTTTTAATTAAATTAAAATTAAATTGAAAAAAAATTTTAATTTTTTTGTCCCTACGAATTTTTTTAGGTTAATTGCCTGATTCTGAGCAAAAAATGTTATTAAATTTCTCTTAAATGCATCGCTTTCGAGTATTTAAAGTTTTAAAAAGCGCGAAAATAGCCATTTTCAAGACTCGGTAACTCGTGAAAAATTAATATTTTGTTTACCAT